AACTTGTCGCAGGGATTGAATTTGATCAAGGACCACGATTCCCTGGAAACGAAAGGAGAGAGAGCAGCGAAAATTGGAAAAGTGCTCGAGGCAACGGATTCGATTTCCACAACCACGTAGCCATCTCCTTTTTCTGAGTAAGGATCCGTTGTGTACTGCTGTGCTAAGGAAGAACGCCGTATGAGCCTTCAGATGTTGCCGAATTTCCTCCGTTAAAGACAGAATTTACTGAGAAAATTGTGAATATTTTCTCCCAAAATTTTCAGATAATCTAGCACGCGATGTAATCTAAAATATCTGAAAATCTCAAGGAAAAATATGTGAAAATTGCGTCAAAAATACGTACATTTTTTATGAGGGAAAATTTGGCAATTCTCGAATGTTTATGTGGCGTTCTTCCTTAGCACGCAGTATAGCGGAGTAACGTTACAGGATTTTCATGATTGGAAGGCGTTGGTCAGAAAGGAACTAAGCCACTTCAGCTATTGTCAGATTTAATCAGGCAATCTAATTTTTTTCATGCAAACTGTTGTGCAGATTTTTGAGCAACTTTTAGTGAATTTTCGGCATAGTACGATGCAAATACCTTTATATTTTCAGAGGAATCCACTCGAACGTTCTTTTGTAAAACATTTATATGCCATGGTAAAGTTGGTAATAGCTGGTGTGGCTTGGTTCCGTTCTGCTAAACGCGGTCCTATTATATGGTTTTGCCTTTTGCAATTAGGAACTTCAATATCTGGTTCAGTTCAGAAACGACGTACGTACCATTGGTCTCCCTATGTACGCAAGCGTTTTTACGAATGAGCCACAAATTTTAGTTCCTAATTGCAAAACGAGGTCCAATTTAGAAACGAAAATGTTATTTTTCTTAAAGGGATGTGTCCTATCTTTTTAAAAATGAATGCTATTAAACAAGAAACAATTTTATTTGAATTAAACAATTTGCATCATAATGTGTGCGATATTTTTTCTGCTTTTCTGTCGATTCATCTGCATTTTTCCTCTGGGTGAACGGATTTAAATGGAATCATATCAGTTGTTGCCTAATTTTCCCTGATATTTTTCTTTTTTTACCGGAAACTTGGCAGCGCAATTGGTTTTGTGTCAAATCTTATCTACAATGTGTTTTTTCTTCGTTTATTTTAAATTAAAAAACGGCTAAGTTATTGTCGAAAGCTATGGTTTGCTACTTAGAAGTTTGCGAACCCTTGAGTTTGCGGACGAATGAGGATGGAGAGGTACTTAACGGATCCTAGACACGTCTCGTTACAGTAAAAATTGGTGCAAGTGGGTACGCTCAAAATTTTAAATTTTATACATCCTTCTTAGCTCAAACCTGACTAACATTCATTTCTGGACTGTCAAAATTTATCGAGAGTTCTGCACATCCCCCCTCCCCCATCATGAATCATAAATCACATCAGAGTAAACATTTAACCACCCTCTTCTCACAAGAAAATGTCGAAATCCAGCGAGCACATGCATTCACACAGCTGCTTTACGGTGAAATGGAAGCACTACGTCTAAAAACGCCAAAAACATTTGAAAAGTAACACGTTTTTTTGGAGAGGAGAAGAAAAAAAAATAAAGACGCACTACCAAACGAGTACAACACCTGCGCTCCACTAAAATTTACCTAGCCACAGAATTTTTTGCTGTCAAGTTAGAACGTTGAGCAGACTTTTACAGGGGAGGAAAAGAGATAGGGAGGGAGATTTCCTCCTACCTTTTTTGCACTATCTCTAGATTCTGAGAACCACCAGCCGTAGTCACACTGGAGCGAGCTGAGCGTTGTGCTCTCTACTTTTACAGCTGTCCGAAAATTTCATTGAATTTCCTTCGCGCTGCCGATAAAATTCAGTAAAATTTTCAAACAGATTCAACCAACAAATTCCCTGTAAATACTAAAATGGCGGCGGAAGTTTTGAGACGTCGCCTGGCGTTTGTGATATACTTTGGCCAGAAGGTTACGATATGCTAAAGAACAATGAATAGGATCCGTTTTTGCTCTCTACTCTTACAATTTCGCAAAGTGTGATGCATGCATGCTAGAGAGCAATAATGAATAGGATCCGTTTTTTCCTTAACGTCAGAGAAAATAACGCCGATTAGGAAAGACAATTGTTGTAAACTTACACAATTTGTCACTTCATTTAAACGTATGGGCGCAACTAGATCATAAACAAGGTGGAGAAATGGCGCTGGGTCCACACCATTTCGTGGGGAAAACAAAGCCAAGAAATTCCAAAAATTCCAAATAATTTTTGGAATTTCTTTGCTTTGTTTCCCCCACGAAATGGTGTGGACCCAGCACCATTTCTCCACCTTGTTACATACAGTTCGGACCACTTCTTAGTGTTTTTTTTTCACTAGATCATAAAGGTGAGGGGAATGTCATAGGTCCAAGTAATCTAAGAACCGGGGACTGGCCTGAGTTAGTCAAGCCATTATACACGTAAGCACAAGGGTGAATTTGAAAACAAGTTTACCTTTTTTTTCTCCAGGATTGTCAAGCTAGTGGAAAAACGAATCTAGGGTGAAAAATTCCAAACTCAGTTTTTTAACAAGCTAGATTATTTCAAGTCCACACGATAAAGAGAAATCTTCCAAATGCTAATGAGAATTAGTCAACTAGACATTCACGCTATCGAAGAAAGGGTTTATCATTTCATCGATCATTCTCCTTTTTACAAATCATCCATTCAGCCCCAGAAAGTCTCCTGCACGTGCTTAAATAATAATTCACGAATTTAAAAATAGCATGCATCATTCACTAGGATGTATAAAAGCTGACACAGCCTTACACAATAATCTTCAGCCTGCTGTAGAATAAATCGTGGATCCTATTTTTTTTTTTTTTTTTTTTTTTTTTTTTTTTTTTTTCTTTTTTCTTCAGCGTAGTGATAGTGCTGATTTTTTAGCATTTGAATAATGATGTTTTCCATCCCTGAAGGGTAGGAATTATTTCAGCATTTGGAAGGGCCAACTTGCCAAAGGCATACTCGGAAAAAAATAGTTCCATTTTCAACTATCTATAGTTGAACTTATTATCCAGATCCAGTTACAACAATCAAAAAATCTCCGAGTCCTGCGTTTTCTAAAAATAAATCCTAATGCGTCAGCGCCCACAGATCGGACAACTGTATTGACGTCCGAAGAATACGTCACGAAGTATCATGCACGTTCATTGATCCGTAGTGATGTACGTTTCTCCGATAACGTTACGTGCCTTTTTCACTGTAGCTGCAATACTTTCATCCAAACGCACGGACTAACTAGAGTGTTCACGTATTTTAAGTATTTTTGAAAGCAGTTTCTTACAAAAAATAAGAGAAAAAGGGGAAAAATACACGCAACAATTGGGTACTATTCCAACGTTGCCTAGTAATGCAGTGACGTTATTGTCAGTGATTAAAAGCCTCCGAACAGTAGAACGAGCCATCCAGAAAGGTTGAACATGAAATTTCTTATTACTTTAACAATAAGACTGCAGACTTATAGATGATTAGAAGGAGACTACGAGTTCTGGAGCAATTCTCAGAAGTTGCTTTGACGGCCGCCATTATAGTTAATCTGAGTAGAATTTAAGGACTATCTCTTTTTGACAGCCGCTAAAATCATGAAAATCGGCCCCGTAGATTTTCAGAACGAATTTTGACAGAGAAATGAACATTTCTGCCCGGATAGAGAGTTATACATAGGGGGTTCCCCCTTAAATTTTGGTATTATCCCAATTTGATGGACGATATGGACTTTTCTAATAGATTTTGGTGGTACAGTAACATTTGGGTTAGGCACCTCATTTTTTAGGGTACCAAAATTAATTGGATCAATAGGTCCAAGGTGGGACCTAACCTCAACCTTTTTTTCCGTGCATTGTTTAAATGGAAGAATCCACAACTTTTACCACGTCGCATCATCATACATCCTGAGTCATACTTCGAAAGAGTAAATAGAGTAAGCTTTTTTAATATGTGTGTGTACGATATACGCACTACTCGGTTGCACGTATGTATTGTTCCCCTATAGTAATACTTTATAGAAAATGTGTATAATTCTGTACGATCTGAAAGTTCACAATTAAATAACAAAAACAAAGAGTAAGCTCATCCAAGAATCTGTCGATGGCTGCAAAGATCATGAAAATCTGCACAGTAGGTTGGGAGAGCGAACTGTGATAAAATATGAACATTTAGGGAGTCGGTGACCGTATGGTAATAATTTTGTCATTGTCGCTTTATACATTTTCAGGAAGGCCTCCTGAATAAAAATTAACGAGGAAACCAATGAAGCCCCATTTCATTCTGTACTTTTCGCACATGGAAAAAAGAGGCAGGGGTTGAGCCCACCTTGCACATTCCTAATTGATCTTGATAGCACCCCAATATATTACTTAGATTACTACCCCAACATATTAGATTACTACCCCAATATATTAGGTTACTACCCCAATATATTAGGTTACTACCCCAAATATTGCGGCACTACCCCAACTTGAGTAGCGGTAATTAATTAACCAAAATTAATTGGAAATGCCCATATCATCTCATAAATTAGGGTAACACCATAATTTTAGGGGATAACCCCTAACACTATTTCCCCGTGTATTTACGAGCTTGTAAAGTTTCCCATCATGTCCAAAACTACCATTGGCTCGTTCCAGTGTGAGTCGCGCCACCCTTCATACATAAAATAGTCGCTCCTCTCACTTAAGGGCGTATCTCTATTTCCACATGAGCCCCAAAGAACATATAGTTATCTAGAGAACAAGGCTCTCATGTAAATCAAGGTACGTTTTTACGTTAGAGAAGCGACAAAATGACAGAGATCGTGAACTGCTTTCGAAACTTGACAACCGAGATGATGAATTCAAAGTCGTTTTTTGCATTTTTCACTTCTCCCCTCCATTGTGTGTATTTTTTCGTGGAACTTGTCACAATCCCTCATGGACGAGGGAGTTGACATGTCTGGCACTACGATGTGAGCTCTCGCACAATTCGGTTTCCAGTCGTTCGCGAGATGAGGTGCGGAGAAGTGATCAGCGCGGCCGCCATTTTGGGGGCGGCCCTGATGACCGGCGTCGTGGCCGGTATCGTGACCGGCACGCCGAGCATAGTCCCTCGCGATGAGGGTGGACGAAACTCTGACAATATTTTGGTCGCTAATATTCGGAGACTGAGCGCAGGACAGGAAAAAAGGGATGGAAAGGAAGGAACCGTGCCCAACGCAGTCGGACCAGGGGTTGAAAGTATTCTGGTGACCGTTGATGGAAACGCCGCAAACGATACGAAAACATCAAACGATGAAGATAGAACTACTGGGGACAGCAAGGAACCCAGTGTTATTTTACCACGAGGGATCCAGATTTCAATGAGTGAGAAACGTTTCTTTCCTTTTTTCGCTGCATTATGTAAAAGAATAGACTATACACTAAATGAAAAGATTGGTAGAATTTACCATTCCTTCACGCTGTGTGAAATACTGCGTGAAGGAATGGTAAATTCTACCGATTTTTTTTTCAGTGTACATTTTATAATAAGGAACTGACAATGAGCTAATAACATTAAAGCCTAGATGCGAACAATTTTATGTTATGTGAGAACAACTATTTAAACTTACCGATGCACTCCTATATTTTTCCTTACGCCGTACAGTGGATCGAGTCAATAGGAGATGTCGGACAAAATTTGGAAACTTTAAACGCTTATAATTCCGTTTATACAAAACTTTGAGGTTCTAAAAGTAGTTTCATTGGTTTCGTCATGAAATTTTCTTCAAGAAGAACCCCTTACAATTTAAAATGTAACAAAATAAGCGCCAATATTTGCAGTTTGAGTCAAAAATTTCATGTCCGACCTCTCTAATCAACTTGAACCACTGTGCGCCATCTTAAGGCTGCCGTGCTACGTAAAAACGCCGTACAGCATTCGGATGTTTTCGAACTCTTTCTTTGAAAATGCTTTTATTTTTAGAAAAGTTGTGATTATTTTTGAGATGTATTAAAATTTTTATTTCTCGTATAGTATAGCGAACGTTTTTCAACTTTTGACATTGGCCTCCTTTGAGATAACAATAAGAATTCAAACCTATGTTTTCAAAGTAAAATATAAAGCCAATAAAAAAATAAAGTTTTTAAAGCCTAGAGGCACTTTTTAATACTGAGAAATGTAACATTTACAATACTGTGCCACCAAAACCATCTTTTGACCCATGGCCAAACCTTCCCATCATCCAAAAATTTCATTTTAGCTATATTGAAATAAAATTTCGAAATTGCCGAATAAGAAATCTGTCCCCTCTCCGTCCTATCAGTCCTAGAATATTGGCATTCCTATTCCTAATGAATTTAGCGGGTTGGTTTTTGAAATTGATTGACAAAGAGACAATGTATTTATCCTAAAGTTGGGTCACAATTGAAAATTCTCGTGTTTATGTTGACTTTGAGTTCCTTTTTATCGGTGAGATCAACTAAGAGGATTTGGCCAATCGACCAAATTTTGGTTAAATTGAACGAAATCGTATGGGTTACTACAAAGAAATGCGGGGAAGAAGAATTTGGTAAATTATGGACTAACTATAAGAACTCTCGTAAGTTATAGTTAGTTAGTCTATTGCTTACCTCCTTCGTCCATTTCAACCACCCGCCTCCACCAATATAGACAAGCTCCATTTTCCATTTGCCTTCGCTGCCTACCTATTAGTTTGACCATGTCCATCAAAATCAATAAGCGGCCCGCAGATGCAGAATTCATCACGGGAAAACAGTGGTTGAGGGTATGTCCTAAAATTGCGGTACTATCCCGATTTGTTGAATGATTTGGTATGGATATTTTCAATTAACGATGGTGACTCCGCAACTAAAGTCGGGGTAGTACCGCATCATTTGAGCTAGTAACCTAATTTATTGGGGTACTAATACTAATACAGTTACTTGGAAATGTCCGAGCTGGGAATTAACTCCTTCCCCTTCCTCTTTTTTCCGTGATCAGGAAAGAGATTTGTTAGAGGTGTAGTCAGCTAAGTTGACGGGTGTTTACTTTCGGTTTGCAAGCGCCGACGACGATTTTGGGCCTGTCCACAGACCCTCGCTCGCTACTATCCATCTTGAAAACATCCGTCTTATGATCATACTGTAAACAAACCATGTTTCAGTTATGATTCGCGACCTTTACGTGGTTGTAATTTCGTTGTAGCTGAAAAATAGAGTTGTTCGATGTTTGAAAGTATTAAAAAACCAATTCAGGCTTGTGTTACTTTGTTAATCATTCATTACCGCGAGGGTCCGATGTTTTTGAAATGGATAGTAGCGAGCGAGGGTTTGTGGATAGGCCTAAAATTGTCGTCGGCGCTTGCAAACCGAAAGTAAACGACGACACCTCTAGTTATTAACATCTATTTAAGTCCATATTATATCAACTTTCATCATTTCTCCCGCAATGCATTTTAACGTTAATTTATGCGAGTATGTTTTCTGTTTTTAAAGAATGGGACACCGATTACTCCTTTGGTCAAGGCGGTAGGAGTGCGCCGGATGACAGCTATGAAAGCATCAGTAAGTTTTATCTATATGCAACATTTCATCAAACATTTTTTAAAGATTGTTAGACGGTAGATAAAACCCGTGAGATTCGACGTGATACATTCAATGGGTTTTTTTTTCCCGAACAGGAGATATGCAGAAAGTGGAGCTGAATTCCTCGTTCTATGTTACTGATTCTGTGCGGGAATAGTTAATGACAAGCCTTTCACAAAGTGTCTCCTCTGAATTTTCTTTCAGTGTTTAAATCGTTATTTTCAAAACGTCATGATAAAGACCTTCTAGTCTCCATTAATCAAAATGAAGATGGGATTTTAATGGAGAACAATTGGAATTCATTCTGCAATTATAGGAACTACAATTTTTAGCCTATCCGGAAAAACACTCATCTGCATGGGGACACTAATGGCACATACATCGTTTATAAACTGAGGCACATATTATAGTTCCAAATTGCACATTGCAGTCCATTTTAACATCATGGTACTTCGAACTCATGTAACATTCTTCACATACTGTTCTTCATGCACCGAAAAATAAAATCATGCCACTTGTCAAGAGACGACGTCGAAAAGTTTTATGCATCAAAAAATTGAGCATCGCAAGAAGTGATCACGCTGCACAGTGGACCAAGTCAATAGGAGAGGTCGCACAAAATTTGAAAATTTTAAACGCTTATAACTCCGATTATACAAAACTTTGAGGTTCTGAGAGTGGTTTCAGTGGTTTTCTCGTGAAATTTTCTTTTAGAAGCACCCCTTGAAATTTTAAATACATACAAATGCATCCGACCTGGGATTCTACTGTCCCGTCGCATGGCGTCCGCCAGTGATGCAATCAACTTTCAAAGCTATCCTTTTACCGCTGTACATTGGATCGAGTCAATAGGAGAGTTCGGACATCATTTGAAAACTTTAAAAGCTTATAACTCCATTCCTACTAAACTTTGAGGTTCTAAAATTGGTCCCATTGGTTTCCTCGTGAAATTTCCCTCAATTAGCACCCCTAAGAATTTAAAATGTACCAAAATAAACATCAAAATTTGCAGTTTTAGTCAAAAATTTCATGTCCGACCTCTCTAATAATTGACTCGATCTACTATGCGCCGCAAACCGAGATACGAGGTTTGGGAATTTCACATTCGAAATGTTGAGGCCTCCACGAGGATAGGAGCTGATTTAGGGACGATAATGAATTCCGAATTTTATGAATATATAATATAAATATTTATATAACTTTTTTATACACTGGAAAAAAACACATTGGATCTAGAGCCCAGACTCTTAGAAACATTGACAAGAAAAAATACTCTCGATTCAATCAGATTTGAGCTTAAATCAAGAACCAAGCCTCTTAATTTGAGCGGATTTCCTTTCGATTTAAGCTTAAATCTGATTGAATCAAGAGTCCTTTTCTGTCATGCTAATGAAGAACGCCGTATGAACATTCGAGAGTTGTTAAATTTCCCCGGATAAAACACGTATTTTTGAGGAAAGTTAAGCATAATTTTCCTTAAAATTTTTAGATGATTTAGATGAAATTGGGGACAAAATTGTCTGAGAAATTAGAAGAAAAATATTAGCAACTTTCCCAATAAATTCGAATTTAATCGAAGCAAATTTGGCAACGCCTGAAGGTTAATACGGCGTTCTTCCTTAGCACGGCAGTTTTCCTTGTCAACGTTTTCAGGAGTCTGGACTCTAGATCCAATGTGTTTTTTATTTCGGTGTACTGAACATGTTTTTAATCCCTTTTGAATGATAGTCAATGGAGACTTTTTATTTCTCCTACAAGGTAGCGGTGAGTCGGACGATGACAGTCTGTACCAATGTTCGCGTTGCGGTCATAGCGGCGGCGGCAGAGGCTCTCACTCGCACAGTCTCTCCATCAGCGGGCGTAGCGGGGGTAGGAGCGGCATAGGCAGTGAGTACCAAAGTACCAAGCATTCAGTTTTCACCCCACACAATAAAAAATTGCCGTGTTTATTGTTACTTCGAGCTTACTTTGAGTTCCTTTTTTTCGGTCGCATCAACCAGAAGAATTTGGTTGATCAACACAATTTTTGGTTAAATCTACCGATACCGTATTGGTTACTACAGAGAAATCTGGGGATGAAGAAAGTGTCCTGTGGGCTGATTATTCAAATTGATAGACAAAGCAATAGACAAATGAATCGTAGCGCACTGAGAAAAATTTTTAGTCAGATCAACCAGAAAACTACTTGATCCAATGAGACTACTCCAATGAATATTTCCCTGAATGGAATGATACTTGAATCAACTGGAATAGCCAGTTATATTTTTTCTAGTTGAAGTAACTGGAAATTATCCTTGTTTTAAATGGATAGAATCCTTTCGGTAACTGGAATCATCCTCGGAATAACTGGAAAATATCCGTATTGTTACGTAGTGCTTGAATTCATACTCCGTCTCGACTCCTGCTCCATTGGAGGGGGATTTAAAACGAGCGATCACATATTAGAGCCCAAAGCTCCAGATTTTCTCGAAGCTCAAAGTGAGAAAGTGATGAAAAAGTTAAATTTGGCGTTCATTAACATCTTGCTCAATTAGATAAATCCAGCCAAATCCAACGGATTAGGGGGCTGAGGGAAACCACTGATTAGTGACGCAATGGTCTGTGCTTGAAAGCGCCCTGTCCCGATGCTGGAAGCAGTTTGCTCCACCTCAAGCAACTCTTTTAACTCCCCGGAGATCAAATTGCATATACGACGAAATGAAGGAGTTTAAAGTGGATCCGGTTATGCCCCAACGGTCTAATCGCGCACCATTCCTACAGCTGTGGTGGGGGTAACGAATTCATTATCCGGAAGATTAAACCGCTCGATGCAAGGGAGGAACTTCGAATGTGCACACTGATTGGGAGGCGATTAATTATAAATACGAAGAAAAACTTGGAAACCAAAAACAATTCTTTTTCCTTCTTATTCATTAATTTTGTTCGTTTTTTCATTTTTTCCCTTTCAAAACATGAAATTAGTCAGTATGGTCCCGAAATGTGAGAGTTAGCGGAGAGGGACTCGGCGCAATGGAAAATATGATCGTACAATGTACCATCGTACAATTCTTCCACCAATACATTTTCCTCGCGGTAGAACGTAACTACGTTTCAATGTTGCCAAATTTCCACTCGCAATTTGCATTTTTACTAGGAGAATCTTCAGCCCTTTAAACTGACAATTTTAATGAGGAAATAATAGTGGACAGTACACCAAAACACGCATTGTTCATACGAGTATGTTGGAATTTATTCTTGATAAGTGTCTGGATACTTTTCGGGATTACCTATCTCATCTACAACAAGATCAAAGAAACAAAAACACAACAATCATAGCACGAAAGATGCGTTTTTCTAGTTAAAAATCTCACTCATTTTTCTTCGGATCTCATGCAAATATCAAAAAAAATTTCACAGGTACGTCTTCCGTGGGGATTGAATTGTTTGAATCAATTTTGCAACCTTGTAGTGGAGTTACGTATCTTTGTCCGGGAAAAATAGAGGGATTCGTTAATTTTTTTAAAATTTCGCAACCTTAGAATGGAGTTCCGAGTTCCGTATCTTCGTCTGGGAAACGACGAACAGGGCACGTCACGAGAACTCGTTAGATTTTTTTCAAATTTCGCAACCTTAGAATGGAGTCCCGCATCTGTGTCCGGGAAACGACAAATAGAGGAATTCGTTAAATTTTTTTCTAACTTCGCGGCCTTAGAATGGAGTTCCGTATCTTCGTCCGAGAAACGACAAAAAGAGGAATTCATTAAATTTTTTTCTAACTTTGCAATCTTATTATGGAGTTCCGTATCTTCGTCCGAGAAACGACAAATAGAGGAATTCATTAAATTTTTCTCTAACTTCGCAACCTTAGAATGGAGTTCCGTATCTTCGTCCGAGAAACGACAAATAGAGGAATTCGATAATTTTTTTCTTACTTCGCAACCTTAGAATGGACTTCCGTATCTTCTTCCAGAGCACTTTACGGGAATGTGTTAACCTTTTTTACAATTTTCAGCCGCGGCTGACTCTTACGAGGACGACGACGCCGAATCGGACCGGGACAGTTACAGTAGCAGCAGAAGCAGCAGTGGGTACAGCTACATGGACGACATGGGCAGCATGGACATGGAGGCGGACGCACTAGAGTCGGATGAGCCGTGGAGTGCCGACCCTTTCGCGGGCAGCCACAAGTCGCGGTACCCGCAATGGGAGGACGATGACGATGATGAATACGAGGCCGAAATGGCCTTTCAAAGCCCTCCAAGTCGGGGATCCAGGGACCCGACTTCAGGATCGACCCGAATCGCAGGATCCCGGACTCCGACTGCAGGATCCCGGACACCGACTGCAGGATCGCTGACTCGAACTGGCGGATCGCGGACTCCAACTCGAGGATATGATCGATCCGATAGTCGTGACATACGTGACGATATCGCACCTTCCAAGTACGGTACCACGTACGGTAACGACGCTTACAAGACCCCAAGCCGTAAGACGTCGTACAGTGAAACCGGTTACGCAACGCCGAAACCCAAGACGTATCTTGTTTTTTTTTAACATTTTATTTGGACCGCGTTTAACAGAAAGGAACCGAGCCACATCAGCTATCGCCAAAATTAAACGGGCAATTTCATTTTTTACAAGAGAATGTATTTGCGGATTCTTTTGAAAATTTTAAGGAGTTGTCTTCACACTGTGCAGAAAATTCACTGAACTTTGCGCAAGAATCCGCTCAACGTTTCCATGTAAAAGACTAAATTGCCCGATTAAATTTGGCAGTAGCTGATGAGACTTGATTCTTTTCTGCTAAACGCGGTCTATTTAATAATATCATGCTACTGCTAATACTAACTATATCGATGGCTGAAATCCCTAATTGTACATTTGAACAATTACAACAGCGAGTAACAAGGCTAGAAAATACAAATAAACCCAGGACGTTTTGGCTGGGAACGCCTTCTTTGGTTGGATAAAAAACAATGAAAATTAAAAAAAACTTAGTACTTGGTTGTATCTTCCAAAAAAGGAGTGCATGTTGTTAGGAGAAAAAAATTGATAACACGCGATCGACACGAAACACTGCATCCGAACATCGATAAAATTAGTCTAGTTGCTGTGTTGATCATGTAATGAAGAAAAAATTTGCATAACCACATTCATCTTGTTTTGGAAGGTACGACTTAGTACCAAGTGTTTAATTTTTTAAGTTCATTGTTTTTTTATCCAACAAAAGAAGGCTGGGCTGCCTCCATCCGAAAATTTTTGGTTTCATTTGTGTTTTCTAGCCTTTATTGTAATTGTTTAAATGAGAACTCCTAAGCCACGCATTTCGTTTGCAGTGTTAATAAATCCCTGCACCCATTTTACTTTTTTGACGGAGAACAAGTCAACATAATTCACTGAAGTTTTGATGGAATTCTCTTCGCGCTAATGATAAGAATTGCGGAAATTTAAAAGAATTACTTCAAGTACTGTTTGCATTTAAAAATTAAAGCTCGTGACAGCTGGTTTACAACCGAGTCGCTAATCAAATCATAAAAATCAGGATAAGATTACTGATGTAGTTACGTTATTTTGTCATTTTTCCTCTCACACTTCACTTCCACTCTCATTCTTACGTGATCTCATGGGTTCCTCCAATTGGACCGCTTTAAACAGAAAAGAACCAAGCTACATCTGCTATTGCCAAATTAATGTGGGCAATTCAATTTTGCACATGGAAACGCTTGTGCGGATTTTTTTGCACATTTCAGTAAATTTTCCGCATATTACGAAGCAAATTAGCTGAAATTTTCTGAGGAATCCATAAAAACGTTCTCTTGTAAAAAATTAAATTCCCCAGTTACATTTGGCGATTGCTGATGTGGCTTGGTTCCTTTCTGCTGAGCGCGGTTCAATTCTCTCCTTACATTTTCGTTCCTTACAAACCAAGGTATTAATCTCTCGTAGAACCTTCGCCTGGAAACTTCCAACCTTATCTATACCTTTTCATTTATTCATTTACACTACCCATAGGCGGTTCTAGGCCTTCATGCTTGGGGATGCCCAGAGGTGGAAAATATCGGAGACCGGCCCCGGAAGGGACGGTCGCTCAAGGGAGGCCTAAGTTTCGGCCCTCAAATTTTATCCCTTTCCTACCCTCCTTTCTCTTTTTCTCTCCTTCCTCTCTACTTAAATAACTATAAATTCAATGTAGAAAATTTTTAGCGAAACTTTCCAAAAAAAAAAAAAAAAAAAAAAAAAACAGTAGAATCTTTGTAAAACACGGCTATCAATATCAATTCTGTTTCAAACATTTTCAATTAATTCCTGAGATTTTTTCTCAGTATGAGCGAATACAGAATCTTTAAAAGCAGTAATTTCACGGTTCCGATAACCGTACTTAATTTTTGCTTAGGGGTGCCCGGCACCCACTTGCACCCCCGTAGAACCGCCTATGACACTACCCCAAAGTTGTAAAACATGCTGTGTCGTTTAGGTTTTAATATCCGACCAGATCGTCAAATTTTGTTTTCCTTTGATAGTTTTAGGACGTATGCTGAAGACAATTACGACAAATCTCCAGGCATGTTCGGGTCGAACGCAGGGATCTTCTCCAGCTTCAACGCCCCCAGTAGTTTCAAGAATGGCTTAAACAGGGGTTTTGGTGGTAGTTTCGGGGTCGGATACAACAGTCCCTACAATGGTGGCTTCAGCAGTGGCTACGGTGGCGCTTTCGGTGGTGGCTACGATCCCCTCGGCTACGGTGGTTTTGGCAGCTTCGGTGGTAGAAATAACATGATGATTCCGACCCAAGGTAATGCCAAAGATTTGGAACGAAGCAAAATACCCTATAATTTTTCGGGGGATGTTCAAAAAATCGTTTTTTTAAAACAATTTTATCTCACTGTATTAAAAAAAGCGAAGCCGATTTTTGTGTGTGTGGCACTTTCTGTATTCTAATCCCTGGATGAATTAGCCAATCAGAAAACGTCATGAAGCCAAGATGAGGTCATCGGAAAATTCCGTTAATAGCGATATCATAGCTTTTCTGATTACTTCCTCTTTAAGTTAGCAGGGTTTTCGTATAACGTCATCCGTGCTATGCTGATTTTCCGATCAATTAATTCCAAAAATTGCTGATGGACCAATCAGGTACCATCCTCCACTAAACTTTGAAATTTTAGATTTATCTCGGAAAAATCTAAAATTAATCTACTGGTTAGTGGGGCCCGGGCCTCTTAGGGGGGTGGGGGGAGCAGGTCAGAGCTTTGTTCTCGTGGTCTTTCGAAAGGGGAGGGGAGTTAGGCTACAGTATTGATTTTTCAGATGTCTTTTGTTATTTTTGGATTTTTTTTTGGAGGGGGGGCAGGGGGAGCAAACTTATGTGATTTCAAACAGGAGTTCAGAGGTTGGCTGACGGATGGTTTACAGGGCGGGAAAGGGATAAAAAAAATCTGATAATATGACCTCCGTAATACATGAACGGTCTCAGCTGACGCAATACGGTTAAAACTTAATTTTACGATTTTCAGTTAATTTAAGCAAACAATATGCTGCAGATAGACAAAGCCCCTAATTGCGCCCAACAGTGAAAATCGAACCCGATGGAGCTGAATTTCTTCGAGCTACGGAAGATTTTTTTCAATATCTTTGTGCCTTTTTCGTTTCCAGTGTTTGACGCTGTGCAGGATTTGATCGACGACCAGTCGATGTTTTACGTGACCTTTGAATGCCCGCCCAAAGTCGGAAAATACTTTTGTAAAATGCAATGTAAAATGCGTAACGAAAAATTGACAGGGAGCTGCGACGGTGGATATTGCAGCTGCATGCTCAAATGGGAGAAGAAGATGAAGAAGGCGATGAGCAAACGTTTCCGTACGTAATTAATAAATAATAATTATTAATTATTGATTTAATGAAATCGCTTTGACCCAAAAAGTGATGCTCTAAGTATGTTTTCGATTTATGGTCTTTCCACTCGAAGCAATGAATGCTTGTCGCGGGAAGTTGTTAGTCTGCAGTGTCTCTGCATTATCTTATTTTGACTGCTACGGCGAAAAAGTTCAAAATTCCGTCACGCAGCCGTGAGTTGATCAAAATATGGTGCGGGCTCATCTAGGGACTCTAGACCTATCTCCTATTAATAGCTGATAAAAATCATTAAAATCGGCCCGGTAGATCTTCAAAACTAATGTGACACAAAAATGAACATTTACATTCTTTAAATAGTAAAATTCACAACTTTATGTAACTTCGTGAGTATGTATAAGACCTGCTTCACATTTCTAAAATTAAAATATACCGGGCTCATCTAGATACTATCACTCGTCGATAGCCATGGAAAATAATGAAAATCGGCTCTAGTACCCAAACAGCATTCCTCAGCGGAAAAATCGCAATATTTTGTAATTAAAGTGCTATTTTGTACGATTTTTTGGCCATGAAACCGCTAGGATCATCAACATCTGAGCGATTATCCTCAATATTTTCGCAAGTTCATCTCTATAAAATGGCGTTCGCTAAAATCGAACCGTTATCTCAATTTACTAAGATTTTTTGTTCGATAATACCTATTGCAAAAAACCGTCGGAAAAATCGCGATTTCATTGCAAAAAGCAGTGAAATCGCAAATATTATCTGATAATATTGCCATACATGGACGTTGATAAAACCGCGATTCATACCGCAATTCATTCTCCGATCATATCGCATTTTATCGTAGCACATCGAAAATAAGAGTTGCTGAAGTAACATCCCGGATGTTAAAAATCTGCGCAACAACTATTGAGTGTTGGTATGTACGCTGCGGTTGTTAATTCAACGTAGCTAAGATGTTATTTTAACAGCCAGAATATTCATATCAACATTTAAGAGTTGTCGTGCAGATTTTTAACATCCGGGATGTTACTTCAGCAACTCTTTTTTTCGGTGTGCTACTCGGGTAGGAAGAACTGTGACAAAAAACGAAAATTTTGGGGGTCAGAGAGTACTGATATCAGTGTTAGCATTCATGTTCTAAATGCTGAACGGTCCTCTTGAATGCATTCCAGGAGATGCTATGGAGGGTTACGACACGGATTGCAATGACTACAAGAAAGCGAAACAGTGCAAACGGTTCTGCAAAGGTCTGACATCGGACAAAACGTTCACCGGTCAGTGCAGCGTTGACCACTGTCAATGCGTGACCTACCCAAAGATCCCGGGCCAGAAGAAGAACGCTTGCACGAAAGCCATCAACAAGCTGAAGAAGACCGAGGACGCAGCGTTGTCGCGGCTAGGGATCAAACCGAAGCCTCTGAGCAGCCTCAGTGCCGCCGCCGAGAAGCAGGTCAACGCAGTCGCCGACGAAGCCATCCAGAAGTTGAAGGCCAGCAACTCCATGGACGGGTGCACGGAGGAGGACATACAGAATCTAAGGTCCATCATATCTAGTCTCTCTCAAGGATTGAACCTGGTCAAAGGGGCAGACTACGCGTCAATCCTCACTGGCGGTGGTAGCGGCAAGGGCGCCGAGAGTAGTCCTGGGAGTCCCGGTAAAAGTGGTGAAAGTGTCGAGAGGAGTGGTGGAATTTCCAGCAGAAGTGCTGGAGGTGGATATGGAGGAAGTGCTGGAGGTGGATATGGTGGAGGTGGCGGTGGATATGGTGGAAAAGGCGGTGGAAGTGCTGGAGGTGGCGGTGGATATGGCGGAAGTCCCAGTAGAGGTGGTGGAGGTGGCGGTGGATATGGTGGAAGTTCCAGTAGAGGTGGTGGAGGCGGTGGCGGAGGTGGCGGTTGGAAGCAACAGCTTGTATGATCAGGATTAAATATTTTCATCCATATTTGGCAAATATTAAACTCTATCAACGATTAAAACATGTCTTAAGCATCACCAAACTTCATTCTGTATAGTAATTCTACGAAACCAAACTGTTCATTATCTCGGAGCAATGTCCGGCGCGAATTTCACTCCGCAGCGGTCAGACTATTGAACTTGATGATAGGCAAAGCGATGGACAAGTAAGTAAAATGGAAAATTAGGCGATCCTGTTGGTCGAAATGGGTGGTTAATAGAGACTGAGGGGGGAACGATCGACTAACTGTAGGATCTCTCGTAGGTTGTATTTAATTAGTCTATTATTTATCTCCTTTGTCCATCACCTTGACCCGTCTTCACCAATAGGATCACTCCATTTTACCTTTGCCTTTGTCTTGAGCGTCTATATCATTGCCCATTAATTTGTCACTACAAGAATGTCAATATGAAGTATCACGCAGCACCTTGCAACCTCGTCCTCTGTTACGTTGCGTAACACTATAATATACTTTTTACAATCCCTGTTTTTTTAGATAATCATCATATTATTTAACGTTACCCTGTAATATTAAATGCAATTCGTTTAATTATAGTTTTAAACCATGTAGATAGATACAAGGGGATACTTGTAGTTGTTACGTTATATTTAAATAAATTCCTTCGATATCAATAAATATATACACACATATGCACACCCTCTTACATACATCGAAAAAAAGAGGATCTTGATTTAAGCAGAAATATTCTTAAAATTGCCACTTTTTAACCAATGAGAATAGATGACCAAATCTGGAAGGAAGGCGCGAACATCTCGACGAAACCTGTTTAATTGAAGTGATTTTATCACTGAGTAAGGAGGAAATCTTCTTTACGACTAATTTAACTTATTTCAGTTTGGACCCCCATTGCGTGTAATTAAATGTTGGATGATTTCCATCTACTTCAAAAGCACCGCCAAAAAACTTCAGAGTAAAAATTTGAAATGAAATAAAAAACATTTGAATTATTTGCACTCCATCTACGTGATTGCACAATGTACTGACATAATGTTAGCTCTCTCATAATTGAAAATCCGTCTGGAATATTTTCCACTAGCGTGACTGGGGATATAGTCTCACATTACTCATATCTTGAAATTTTTTAATACTTTTAACACCAGTCCCCCCCCCCTTAAAGTGCGGTTGATGATTCAAAGTGTATCTTAATTTTCAAGTGGAATAATCCAACGCTTGATGTAGTAATAATGTATCCAGAACGAATGAACTCAGCAAAAAGTATACAAAATGCCATTAGACCCCCTATATCGCATGCATAGGTTGTTCAGTTTCTGCGTACAGAGAAAATCCCATTGCCTATTTTTCCTCGATGACGCCCTTTCCATGGATATTTCACAAAAAACAATCTCCATACCAAAAGCGTAGCATCGTTTTTTGAAGAAAAAAAAAAAATCGTGACGCAAACCAAATACAATCATAGTCGAACGTGCTTGCTCCAGGCCGCAAAAAAATTCCAAGCGCAAAAACCGATGATTCTTTCTAAAACCATTTTCTCGGGTAGAGTTTCTGTCACTTTTCACCATGCAATTCAGTCATTCTGGGGAGAGCAAAAATAATTTCAAACCTAACCTCACATTTTGCCGTGTATCGGACGAAAGAACGTAACTCCATTCCAAGGTAGAAAAATTGACTCAAACAATTCATTAATTCATTTTATAACAACGTATCAGTGCAATTTTTATCCAAAATTTGTATAATTTTTGGATGAAATCTGACGAAAAATCAGAGAAATTTTCAGTTAGGAATGCCCAAGATTCTCCTGGTTAATATGCAACTTGCGAGGGGAAATTTGGCAACATTGAAATGGGGTTACGTTCTATCGTAAGGGAAACGACGATTTGAGTGGACATACTACTAAAAATCTGCGGCGCCAATCACTGCACCTCCAGGGTTGAAGTTCGATGTGATCTTCGTACTAGTTTTTTGACTTGTGGATGAGAAGCCGGAATTTGTCATAGACGTAGTGTCAACAGAAATGGAATCTTTGGGTGTATATAGAAGTATGGGTAAATGGATATATATTAAGGTACGCTCGGGTAAAGCAGTCTCTGGAAACTGTGGAAAACATAGTAATGACGCATATTGCGTCAAATGGCATTTGAAAATAATTGGCCTCACTACACGGGTTATAAAATATCGAATATGAACGCACGCAAATATATATTCTGGAGATGCGTAAAATTCAAATCGACAGTGAAACTACCAGGCCACGTATATCCATTTGCGACGCTGTAGGCTTCCTGTCATACCTACTTTATTTTCAAAACAGAAAACGACTCGACGTCAGTTTTTGATCTCTTCCGTGTTTTCTCTTCCCTGTGCGACAAAAACTCTGTGAAAAATTCAAGGAATGATATTGATTTGTTCTCCTTCAAGAAAATGAAATTAGAGCGAAAATTTTTAAACACTGCAAACGAGATACGTGGTTTGGTAGTAGCTCGAGTCCGAACGTTTTGCAGTGTGAAAATACTTAAAAAACTTCAACTTTGCTCAGAGTACTAACTTTTACACCTTTGAAGTTCACTCTAAAATAGTGAGATGGCGTGCCAATTGCGACATCATTCAGTCACGCATCAAGTTCATTACTTTGGGTATGAAAATATCATTAAAAATGGAAACGAGTCGAAAAACAAAGATAAAGTAAAGTAGTATCACAAATAATTAGTTTTTTTTTTTTTTAAAAAAAAAAAGGAGTAAAATAGGTACACGCTTCCAACATTTAAAAACGCGAAAATCTTTCAATCAATTTTTTTGGTAAAAATGGTGAAAACTAGTAACCTATTTAATAGAGATGATTTTTTGCAGATGATTTACCCGAATTTGAGACAGTGAGAGGTTGGCGACAGGGGGTGTTAAGTGAGATGAGGGAGTGTCAACTCCCTGATAACCTGTGGGAAGACCGAGCTTTGTGGCGATTAGGTGTCGCAAAGCGCCAAAGAGCGCTATAACAGCGACTCGTATGTATGTATTTACCCGAATTTAAAAATATTTCGAGTGACCCCGAAACCCGATTCTCTGCTTAGGTCCACTTCATGTGAAAATGTAAATATCAATGTATGTGTGTATGTATGTGTTTGATAAAATCCCGTCTCGTCACGTGTGTTTTGACGAGATGGCATCGGCCATGTTGAATAATGCCTAGCATCCTTGTCCGCGAGGGTTGAACGGGACGACTTCTCTCACGAAATGTTCACCTGCACCGGAGTATCTTTGTTGAAGCAGGAAGCTTAAATTCGCATATACATATTGTCGCACGGCTGGCATACGGGCGTAACTGCAAAGCGAGATGAGCCGTGAAAATCATTGAACCGTAAGGATGACAGGGTTCATCGCGAAGTGTAGTTGCGCCTTCATGTCAGCCAGAATGGACCACTAGACGAGGTAAGAATTTAAGCGATCTGATACATGTTTCTTGACCAGAATTTCACGTCGAACACGATTCGTACAATGAAAATTGCCGAAACCAACTCCTAACGAGGATATTAACGTTTTTATCTCACATTGGTTACGAGGAATTTGAACTGCCCGCTCACAAGAAACTCAAAGCTCTACGTGAGTCAAATCGCGCACTACAACAGTTTCAACAAGCTTCTCAATCGAGGAATGTTCATTTCCCACCATGTGTTGTTCAAACTACGAGCAATTTGCCACAGCTGAGCCAAAGCGTCAAGATTGAGGTTGCCAGATTTTCATATCGCAGAGAGAGTCATGATCATGATAACGTTTAGCGCACGATGTGAATCACGCAGAGCATTGAGTTTTCATGAGCGGGTGGTTTGAATTCACGCATCAGGAATCATTACATATTTTCGTAAGGAGCTAATTTCGGCAATTTTGATCGTGTGCATCGTGTTTTACGTGAAATTTTAGTTACGGAACATGTATCAGAATGCTGAAATACGTATCCTTGTCTAGTGGTCCATTGTGAAATTCTAAGTGTATTTTAGACTTTCTCGATGCGATCATCGTGCTTTTCTGGCCATTTACTATTGTGAACTCTTCTTTATGCACTGTTTGAAGTTTGTAACAGGCCCATTGCTCGCACACACCGGAAGGCACGTTGCCTATCCGGCGAAATTGAAGGCGAATTTTGAATGGACGAAATCAAGTAGTAGATAACTAAGCCCCCGAGAAGTAACGTGGATTGGTCAAAAACGGCATGAAGCTCCGACAAATGCGCGGTACATAAATTAAACTTCGCAGATCTGAATTAACTGCTTGCCAGTTGATACTCTCTCTCAATCAGAGTGTTCAAACCAGACCTTTCAAATCCCGTCTGATATGAAACTTCATCACGCGTTCCGCTCATCGCCATTTTCGTGCAATTTCTCGCTTGTCATAACCATTCTTTCCGCACCGGTAAAATTCGGGAACATGCTCATTGCTCCAGCGAACGTTGATTGACATCAAAACGGGTTAGACAGAAGATGTCTCTCCCCCCAATCGGATTTCACATTTTGTAATAAGAACCGCTATTCTTCGATCGTCTATAACCTAATTGGACGCATTTCTGCCAAACGGAACTATGTGCATTATGACGTGACCTCTGTTATGCATATATTCTTATGGGTCTCGGAGCTCGGCTCATGTCTTAATGCACATAGTTCTGTTTAACAGAAATACGTCCAATTATTTGAATACGGACATTCGACATTTCTAAAAGCAATCAAACATTTTGGCTCGTTATTGCAAAATAAAGTCAAAATTGCCCTCTTCGAAACTCGCATCGGTCAGTCTTTGCCATCCTTCGCACGCAGTTAAACCAGTGGCGTATGGCTTGCTTTGCGATAAATCGTTTTTAAACCTATAGAAAAGGATCGATAAACAGGGTGTTCGCAACGAACACCTTAATAATCCATTCTTTACCAAAGCCTCAAAGGAGGGAAGATTGATAGTCGATCATTCACGCCTCGTCACTGAGTTTAACGTCATTACGCAAGTTATATTATAATAAACATTAAATAAACGCACGACGCACCCACATTGTGTTGATATGCGAAGTAGAGCACAAAGCGTCCCAAACATGCAG